GGAATACCGATGCCTATAATACCGACAAGGCACAGGATAACGTAGCCGTTACTTGTCAAGATATGCCAGAGGTTTCTATCCCGATCTTGGACTTTGGCTTCCACAACGGGTTGGTTCACTGCGGCTCCGTCTTTGACGTCAGCGCGGGAGGATATTCGGTCCTCTGTTTTTTCAACCGAATCATCTGATGTCAAATACTGCCATGGCCGGTCGTAACATTGAGCTGCAGCCCGCCGAATAGTCCCCCCGACCTCATAGCGTGAAGCAAAGGCGGATACCTTGTTTTCCTTGCCTTGTACGTGTTTCGAAGCGTATGGCTGCAAAGTGGTGAGGAGCAATAGGCCCGAAAGGGACAGCAAGAAGACCAAAGTCCACGAGGCTACGTTTGTAATAGCTACACGTCTGTTAACGTGTGACGGGAAAAGGACAGCCGTTTCGCCTGTTGGAGACGGAGACTCACCAGACGTTGCGATGATGTAGCCAATGTCCCGGATGACAAGGACATGATTGAGCAGAATTATGGGCACGCTGAATCCAATCCCGAGCTGGGCGTTGATAAAGTCCACCTGTGTGTTTGCACCAAAGCAAGAGTGAGCCTCCTTCTCCTCGTGCCCCTCCGAGTTGCGCGTGCAGAAAGGGGATGCCACAAACCTTTGATTTGATATGTCGGTGGTAAAAGTCGCCGCAACTCGGACACACCTGGCCAGCAGCTGCCATGACGGAGAAGATGACAATCATGCCGACAATAGACCCAAAGTACTGGAGTTGCGCAGATGCCAGTACAAAGCTCAGGCCCCAGATTGTCAACTCGGTTGCGAGATAGATTGCCGAAACACATACAACCCAAAACAGGTGGTGAATGGCCACGTCCCATCGGTCTCGCCAAACGGTATGGTTAGGCGCGTTTCTCGTCATGATTTTTTGGTTCGGTGGTTCGGTGGTGGTGACAGGAAACAGAGGAATCGCTTAGGACTGAGACTGTTCTTAACACCGAAGAAGCTTGTGACATGGTCCATGGAAAACAGCAATTCGGAGACGAGTAGACATGCTTGGTCTAATTGACGACGTGACGGCTCGTTTCTTTTTTTCTCCCTTACTGTACAACGGTGTGTTTCTGGAAATAGATTTCGGGATCCAGGAGCAACACACCCGTCAATGCCGAGTCGAAGGTTTGAGCTATACGAATGTGTTACACTCAGGGCGTTTTCTTAGGAGCTCCCGGAGATTCGGGCAACATTATACAAAGGTTAAAAAGATGACAGGGAGGTTGGCCACGATTCATGGCTAATGCTAGGACGGTTGCCAGAGTACAGTGAGTCCATGGTCAGCAAGAAGTGAGGAGCTCGCAGGCCACACGGCCAAGAAAGTCAATTGTATCTGACAGAGACGTCAGTCTGTGCTAGCATCTATTAGTTTGGCTGCGGGATGATAATTATTCCAAGACAAGAGTCAAAATGAACATATAGGAGCCGTGTTAACACATATGAGAACTGCCACGGCATGTATGCCAGTTTTGCCTGTGGTGTATATGCAATGGGGGCATTTCCAACCAGGTTTACGTACAGACCAGACCATTTCCATTCCATCTGGGTTCGAATTCGCAATACATGGGACTCTCAAAAGCCTCCTCCGGAGTTTGCCATTGCAGGAAGTCCGCGTCATCATGCCACTGCCGGAACGGAAGCCTATGCGGCTAGAGGGAAATTGATATCGGGGCCTGTACAGACAATGCTGGAGATAATGACTCCAAGGAATTGTCTCTGGTTCACAGCATTGGCGCTGCGATACGTCGGGCGATTGTAAACGGTCCGCTCAGGGGTCGGGCATAGCACAGGGCTCGGTGAACGGATAGGAGTTGAACAGAGGCAAGGTACCGCGAACACGAAGAAGTGTGCCGTGATGTTGAAACAATGCATTTGGGGCCTGTGTGAAACAGCCAAGACTTGCCCATTGTATACATCCTGATGGTATCTGATTAGGCGGGGGCCAGTTGAAAGCTGTCAAGCATCACAAAGCAGTGAAGTGATTCATACATGGATGGGGTGAGGACGACGCCTTGCTCGTGAGGCACACGTGGCCGTGACACACCGGCATTAGCTTTGTGCTCAAGGCTGGTCCATCGTGGAGCGTGGCATCGTGGCATCATCCGTGGCCAGGCATGCGGCAAACATTAAAAATCTAAAGCTTCAAAACATGAAGTCGACTGCTGGCACGTTACGCCATGTTGGGCCACATGCATTTGGGGTCAACCTAGTACCGCACGTGCGAGCAATATCAATCAATGCCATGCACCCACATGCATCTGCAGTGCAGTCCAGCGAGGGGCTTTAGTTGTGCCGGACCCCTGGGCGCTCTGAGGCTCCACTGCCCGCAGCCCTCAACTGATGTGCCAGCCAGGTGCCGACATGGACATTTGGACATGCCAAGTCCATCAAGCCAATGTTGAGTCAGCCATCTTTACAATTCAACCTCAACCTCAACTCCCATCGTCACTCATCAAGCTACCGTCGCCAATCCTCGCTGGCACGCAGCCCAATGCCTCAACCAGCTGGTCCACCGGCCACAGAATCAGTTGCCATCCAGCACCCGCTACTCGTCGTCACCTTGCTACAAAAGCGGTCAGCAGAATCCATCTAGCTCAAACTGCGTCGTGATACAGACTGGACCCCTCTCCTCGCCAACAACGGACATTTTTGAACGCCACCTCGCTTCATCATACCGTCGTCATGAACACCGAGCAAGGGAAGCGGGCTGAATCACTTCTGCTGAAATCGTCGCGAACGTACGGCATTCAGACGAGGAAAGACGATGTGCAGGCCGCCATCAATCATCCCCACCACGGGCCCCTGTTTGCCGAATGGGCTTTGACACATTTGACATCTGATACCCTGTTGACAGCCGACGAGCTCGACGTGTGAGTAAATTTCCATGCCGCGATATTTGCTCTTTTCACTGTGAAGCGGGAGCCTGCAGTTACTGAGATACCACGGACCGTACGCTAATCTTGCATCATAGATACATGGCATTGGATAGGAATGGCCGCGTAGATCAGCTAGCCGACTTGCAAGATCTTTCCGAGGTGCCGGCCGTCACTGAGGATGAATTGACGGCGGCCGTCGAAGAGCTAAAGCGATGTACGGAGAGCATTTCCAAACAGACGGAAACACTGCGTCAACAGCAAGATGCCCTAGCCAGAATGGTAAAAACGCAAGCCGAAAATACTACTCGCCGAGAGCAATTAGAGCGTGTCCAGAGGAAAAAGCGTGAATTAGAGCGTGATCAACTTGCCAAAGAAGTAAGAAAAGAAGCCGTCATCTGCACGCTATGAGGTTTAACATGCTATTTCAAGGTTGAGCGGATGTCCCAAGAAATCACCCTCAGAGTCACGGAGCTAAACCAGCATGGCCCAGCTCTCAATGACAGCATCGCAACCCTCCTCCAATCCGACGATAAGCTCCTATCAAGTCTCCAAAAGCTAGGATGGGAACTTGACCAACCCGATCTAGGCGAAACCCAAGACATTGAAAAGCTCCGAGAAACATGCATGCGGTAAGATGACATTAATTGCAGACACCTCAAATCCGTCTAACGCCACAATACAGTCTAATCAAGGCAACTGTTGAAACCGTTCGCACTAAACTAGACACCATCTATTTGGAAACCCTTGTCACAGCAGAGCGATCCGGAACAGCAAAACCAGCCACAAACGAACAAGTCAAGTCCCTCCAAGATGAAGTAGAATCACTCTATTCTGAGATCCTGCCCGTCGCCCAAATGTCTATTGACCAACAGTATCTGGAACCCGCGCTCAAGACCTTATCTATGAGAAACAGCCAAAGCATAGGCAAAACGACCACATCCTTGACATATGTATGTCTTCACCGCAGACACGGCCTCACACCTAAACAAGCTAATAACACGAACCCCAGATCAACGAATGCCTCACCTACCTCGTGGATCGCATGGATAGGCTCCATGCACACGTCAAGTCACACAAGTCCCACCAAGCTGCCACTGCGGCAATAGCTGCCGCCGCAAAGGCAGAAATAGCTGCTGTAATCCCCCCCAAGAAACCAAGACAAGCAATCCCTCCTTCCCCCGTTCGAACACGCAGCAATGCTTCCGAGGTGCGCCGACGGCGAAGATCATCCGGTGCCCAGGAAGAGTCCCCGATAGAGACTCTTCTCCAACACCTGGCCGTGATACTGCCACCTGATTGCATCAAGCCTCAGGACCAAATCGGTTTCTTGGAGAGTGTGCTAGCTGAAAGGACCCGCAAGGGAAATGACGTGGCGAAAGGAGCGCAGGAAGGCTTCGAGATGGCCGCGCGCGCACATGTAGAAGATGCCCGACAGGCGATCCAACTCGTCCGGGATAGTCTCCTGGCAGAAAGCCCCTTCGGCGATGTGAAGCTGGTGGATCCAGATATGGATAGCTCCATTTCGGTGCTGGCCCAAGAGGTGAACAAGGCCAAAGAGAGGCTGCGGTCGCTCCAGGGTCAGAGTATTGTTGCGAGGAGTGAGAAGAGGGACGAGTTCATTCAGAGATGGGGATCGTAGAGCGCGAATGTAGGTGGTGTTGCAGGGGCGCGTGATGAAACATGTTCCACTACGGATATCGAGGAACAAGGTATTTTTTGACTGATAAGATGATTGAGCGTTTCGTAATAGACCTGTAGAAGCTGGTACAACGCCTACCGGGTAGGGGTCAAATCTCGAGACTTCATGCAGATGAGCACTTCTTGAGACCTATTATACGATGGATAGTTCAAAATACACTCTGTTTAGCGAATTTGTCAGTGTTCATGTCGGATCACTAGCTTCAAGGAGCATTTTACGTTTAAAATTCGAATAGCAAATCAAGAAAGCAAATCCATTTCACATATCAGCTATTTGTTCCTTTAAGAATCCCACCCATCCCCATGCACAAGGTGCGCCAAAGATCCCACCGTCATCTTAGCTCCATTCCCAATATAATCAAAGCCAACGAAATTACGCTGATCAACCGTCCATTTCCACATCCTCTTCCTGCTTCACGAACATGCTCCCCTGATCCTCATTCACCTTCTCTCGCTTCACTGACCGGAGGCCATCTTTCTCAGCTTCTCCATTTCGCTTTCTCTTTTCTCGCTTGGGAAAGTCACTCTCCGTCAGGAACTCGCCGTTGAGCATCTTTCCCACATGCGTCTTTGAGATATTATTACCATAGTGCCGGACGTTTGTAATGAACGACTTTAGGAACGGGATCGGACTTGTAGCCAAATTGAGGCAATCGGGTACCTCATCACCGCCTTTGCCTCTGATAATGAACCCGTCAGAGTCCGTGTTGGTGAATGTATCATTCCATGCAATGCCGAGGTAGGTGCACACATCAGTGTACTCCTTGAAGGAGGCAAAGTAGAGCTGACCGGCGAAGAGATTGAGTTCTATTTTCAGGTGTAGAGGAACCCGGCGCTTGATCGGAGAAGTAGGGATTGTATAAAGGTCCAAGTCGTCAACAGGCATATACGAGCTGTTTTGTCGAGCCGCGTAGATGTGCAGTTTGGTTGTTTTTGACTTTTCTATCATTTTGTACAATGATTCGGCTTCATATGGGCTAATGATGAGCATATTTGTGATCATCCCTCTTTCACCGGCAGTGGTAAGAATGTGATGTATAGGTCTTTTGAACAAGTCGCAGCGCTCTTGGCTGGTCCCCGCGGTTTCTCTGACAACATTTGCAAAGTCTTTAGAGACTTTAAGTTGTGAGGGAAAGTTTCTTAGGTCAAATTGCAAAGCAGCTGTTGTGTCAGATAGACTTGTGAAGGCTCCAATAATTCCAACTCCGTGATCTCTGAGCGTCCCAAACTTCACAAATGCTTCAACGTCTGCGTGTACTTCGTGTGTAGCTACTGAGCATATTCTGGAGCGATGCAAATGGCGTTGTTCCGTAACTTGGGCTTCAACTTCGTGCTCTTGCTCCTGTTCTGTTTCACGCTGTTGTTCTCTCTCTTCTGAACACCCGTTGTCAACTGCACCCAGGTATTGAAACTCTTTGAGCCGTTCGTGGATCAGAACGGCCATCTCATTCTCGTCGTCCGTGGGAATATTGAAGCTATTTTGCGGCTGGTATAAGCTTTTTATAGTGCGAATGCCGGTTTCTTTGAAGGTATTTGCTGATGCTCTTCTTAGAGACATGTCTGGGGACTCGCGAATTTGGGCCCATGTTTTGGACTGCTGTACGTATCGGCGTCCTTGTTTCGCCCAAATGGGCAGGAGTTGGCCAGTTTCTATTGCAGTCTGCTGAATAGACCAGTAGATAATGTCTTCAATAGACAGAGGCTGTTTAGTGCTCCGGTTTGCCGATGCTTTGATCTGAGACTGAATATCATTCGGCACGCAATATATAACGGACTGCCCATCTCCAAGAAGTCGCATTCGCATACAGGCTAGAAAAAGGTCAGCCAAGCTCAGTATAGAGGGGGAGGTGGTTACCTTGAGCTAGCTTGTCCTTAGTTAAGTTCCTTCCAAGAGTGACAGCCGCCTTACATGTTGATGGCAGCTTTAAGTCTGTTCCTCGTGAGTGAGCTTCATCTAAGAAGACGACGCACCTTTCCATCTGCCTGGCGAATGGCGATAGTTGCAAACTTTCGGTCTTTCCGTGTCTATCCAACACAGTTAAATCACCATTATCGTCGCAGTAGATTGCAGCATCTATCATCACGTTTCGTCCATGTAAGATACCCAGCCAAGTCCTCGCCACCTGCTCATTTGTGAGATCAATAAGGTAGGCACCAACGTCAATGATGACTCTAATATCTGGCTCCTGGGTCGCAATCTTTTGCAAGAAATCCTCGGAGATTCTAGTACTGTTTGGAGGGTCAAGAAGGTGCGTGTGATTATGCAATCCCAGCATTTTCTCTAAAACCAAAGCATCGGTATGAGCCTGACTTATCAAGTCCTGTTGTCTCATTGTCAGCGGCAAAAGTGGTTTCAAATCGTGTGTGCCGCTAAATCCAGTCGTGACCAGCTCCTTAAAGCGCCCAATGTCCCAACCTGATGCTGAAATCTTTTCCGAGTATTCTCTTAATTGCTTCGGAAACACAATGTACGACAGGTAGTAGTCAATGCAAACCCTTAGAGACCTTAAATGAGGGAATAGGTCTCGCTTGCATAGCTGAGTGTCTTCCAGATTGATTCCTTTTACATCATGCCAGGCCTTGGGTAGATCTGGAGCCGCCTTCACCCACTCTTGGTATTCGATATGCGACCGGTCAGATTGAAGGAGGTGCATGAGTGTTTCTGTCAGGTCCCTGTCATTTAGTCCGTCGTAGTAATAAGCAAGATATGTCTTAGTAATAACGGTGTCCGGTTGGCTGTATTCGGAACCTACGCTGGGCGTATCTTTTGCTCTGTAAGGCACTGCGAGATCTGTTTTGGGCATTCTGGCCTTATCAAGACCATAGTTTACACGAAACCGATCTCGTAAGGCCGCAGACAACACTCCACAAGCAATTAAACCTCGAATAAGGAATAAGAAACTCGTCATCTGAGGTGCCCAGCATAAGTCCTTCTCAATAAACTCCCTAGTTGTTTCTTTGAGAGCTCTATTTGTCCAAAATTCGAGAATTTTTTCTTTATAAGTTGAGAATGAGCTCGTTTGAGATATAGAAAAGCCGATCAAACCGGTGAGACAAATTTCCTCTGCGATTCTTCTCTCTAGGAGCTCCGAGGCCTCCCGAGTGACTAGAGATAGTTTGGGATATCTCCCAGGCCCCATGGGCGAAATCACTAGCCCACCAGGCATCTCTTCCAAGATTGCCTCCGCTTTGTTGCAAGCGATGGTTAGAATCTGTGAAATGATAGAACAGCGCTCCCTCGCGAAATCAATTGGCTGCTCTTTACCTAGAGGGTAAACCAACTCATATCTGGGCGAAAACACATCATCGCTTTCGTCAACAATGTCTCGGCAACTATCATCCAGTAAATGTTTAATGTCATAAAGGACTTCTCTCGCTTTCTCGGAACACTTGCTTGAATAGTCAGATATCATGAGGTCTAAAGACAAAATTTGCTCCGGTTGAACAATGAGAATGCCTTTGCTTTCCACGCAATCCTGTATAATTTTGTGGAGCTTGCCCACAGATGCCTCTGTGAGAGTCATGTTCCGAGAAATGGGAAGATGATAGATACGTCGTCCTAATAGGCCACCAAGTCGCGCCGTCATAATTTGGGACATTTGGGCAAATTGTGACCTGGTCACAATAAGGCGAACGAGATTTCCCTTCCTGCAGAGCGACGTTGCTATTATAGGCACAATGACAGAAGACTTGCCTTCTCCCATATTAAGTTGCATAATAGAATTCTGGCGATCCGGGGGATTCATCATGGCGTTGGCAAACTCAATCTGAATATCGCGAATGCTAAGGTTATTTTCGACTTCAAATACTAACCATTCAGGGTGCATCATGGGGTCCCAAGTCCTAGGCTTAAGCCCATGCAATTGTTTTAGAGCATCTTTATGCGCAGTCCCTGGGAGAAGAAGCAGTCGATCCCAATTCTGCCATTTTGATAGGCGAGTAGCAAATATTGCAAGCTCTCGTTTCCATTGCAACGGCAACTGCTCATTTGACGCAAGTTGTTCAACAAGGAAATGAGTGCAGACTCGGGGTAGGTTGGGTTGTATTGCCGCAGTGTTGAGTTCCGTCAAGCTGTTTTGCGGCAGTGAACCGCGAAGAAGTGCTTTTTTGATACCAAGTAAATGATCCTCAAATTCTTTCTTCGCTTCATTTCGGCGACGAAGTATCTGTGGCTGAAACTCTTGCCAGGATGCCTGCAAGAGCAGCTCTCCTTTGGCTCTTTCTAAAGCTCGTCTGCTTTCGTCTAGGCTTCTAGAATAGGCGACTTCATATGGAGTTGAGGCGCTTTTCTGTAACCTTTGTACGAGAGAGAAGACCTGAGAGCTTGGTAGAACGGAACCCGATGTCTTCAAAGGCAGAAAACTATCACTGTTGCTTGGTATTGCGGGTGGTGTGTGAACCTGGAAGACATAACGATGGTCAACGCGGTGTGTTGTCCGTTGGGGGGTTTTCTCGCTTCGTGATTCATCTAGATCTATTTTATACTTTTGAGACTTGGAATATATAAGTCCGTGCCAATTTTTGAAGTGTTCGTCAACTTTTGCATTATCGGATGCCTGCCGGAAGATGGTCTCGACGTTGGATATAACCTTGTTTTTGTTGTAATACCTTTGCAGGTCATCATGATTTTTTGGCCACTGAACCTCCATCCTGCCCCATTGTTCCATAAAAGCTTCCGCAAGTTTCGTATTTTCTTTCGTATACTCTGCTCTCGTCTTGTTCGGGCTGTCTTGTGCGCTGTTATTTCCCTGCCCCTTCCCTGTTTTTTTATTTCGCATAGTGTCTCGAAAGCTCTTTCCTGCTTGTGAAGAAATCCTCGCTGCATTAACTGCGTTTTTTAAATCAGAGGTTTTCGGCCGGTTTCCTCTGCTCAGATCAAAATTCTTAGCTTGAGGAATAGGTGGTGTTGCGTCAACTGGCAAGTATAAAGCGCCGGTGAGAATATGAACCAACTCCAAAACAACATGCGGCGAGAACGCTAGAGTAGCAATATAAAAGCTAGCTTTATGCTTGTTGATTTCTCTTCGATTATGAATCAGCTCAGTGCATACCGAGAACCAAGTTTTAGGAAAGAACTTCCCCGGCTTATCCAGCAGGCCGGCGTGATACTCTAGCTGGATTGACTCGCCGTCTTCGCATGGGCCACTGGTGAGCATTGTCGATGACTCTTTTAAGGTTTTTCTTATTACAGCCAAAAAAGTTATCTGTTTAATATTCTCAAATGAGTTCGAGTAATTTCCGCGCCGACTCTTCTTCATCGCATCAGAGACTTTAAAAAGGTTTGTGAATCGCGTAGTTCGTCCCGGAAAAGGATGTGATTTTACTTCGGCTTTCTGCCCATCCGTATTATCTGTGTTTTCCTTTTTTCCCTTTTTTTCTTCAACTTCGGGGTCGGTATATCCATAGTAATAACTATCAGCTGATATTATCTCTTTCTGAATACCAGTGGCTTGAGAGTAGAACACTGAGGATCGAAGCCGAGCTCGTATGCACAGCTTGTTTTGCTTATCACCATCCACCTCAGGATAGGCTTTGTTGATAGAAATTGTCGGCTCGAAAATACGGTATCTCGAACACCTGTTCACTATTTGTTTGAAAAGTTCTGCGAAATCTGGGTGGTGTGCGAGTGGACTGAGACCGTTTACCCGGACGATGTACTGGCGTTTTAGTCCATTCTTCGGGGTTGATATTTTCCACTGCTCGCTGAGTTTGCCTATTTTTTGTAGTAGTTTAAATATACCTGGGGATACAGCTCTGGGAGAATTAATTTCTGCGGAGCGGACTATTTGTAAAGCTCGCTCGGTGCCTGTGTATCCGGTGAAAGGGTCTGGCACACAACCAGAAGTGTATCCATGAAGAAGTGCTAGACGAAGTATGCTCTCAAAATCTCTCCCGCAAAGTTTCCCCAGGTAGGTGTCCAATTCGTAAGCGTATACTTTGCCACGACTTGGCATATCAATAGTAACGAATACATGGGTATCATTCATCTCTGGAGTGGCGAGATTAAGTTCACCGTCGGGAATAAGCAAAAGCCTGTGGGATCTTTCATCACGTAAGACTAGCTTTTGGTGCAAGCCAATGAGAGTGTCAATATCTTGACAAGAGTCAATCCACATGCCTTGGTACTGCCGGGAGAGGATACGCGAAGATTTCTCTTCTATGTAGAACTCTAGTTGAAGCCTGGGTAGATGGACTTCCAGGTGTTTAGTGCGAGGAAAATAGACGATGTGTAGATCCTCTGGCTCCGCTAGAGAGGCAAAAGCGTCCGTAACTTGTTTCGACGCTTCACGAGCCGTATCAACCAGAAGACCACCACTTGGTTCAGCCAGCTGCCAATAGTCGCCCTCTTTATGCAGCACCCAATTCGTGTCTTGGTGTTGCCACGGTAAGTGTTTTGGGCGAAACTCAATGACAACATTTTTACCTTTTCTGAAAAGCCAATGGACGTGCTTCTCAAAAAATTCGTTGGGTAGCACTTTATGGAACAGCCGTCCAGGAACGAGGTCATATTGACAGCCACCATCTGCTGTAGCAGCAATGATGAAGTCATGATTCTCTTCGGATCCTAGGCCTTCTTGGAAAGACTCTGGTGTCGCTAATAGACCCAAGGAAACGTCATGGCCATGTATTTTGTGTACAGTTTGATACTGCATGCCTTTTTCACTACACTCATTGACGTCAAGTCGTGCATGGCCGAAAAATGTAGAGTATGCTTCATGTTCCTCGATGTCCCGGGGAAGTTTGCCCGATGGTAACCCATTCACTAGAAACTCAGCAGTCAGGACATTGAAGTAATCCCTTCTATGCTCTGTCGAACCAGGAATTCGCCTCTTCGTAAATACCCAATGGAATTCTGTTACCAGCCACGGTTGTGGATCACGTAACGTCCCTGTGTTCCGGCAATGGCCAATCGCTATATCGAGGCACTTGGTTGTAGTTATTGTGTTCAGGAGAGCATCAAGTCCTGTATAAGTAATGCGTTTCCAAGTAAGGAACCAAATAGCGTGTAGTTGGTCCTCGGGATCGACCGTGTGGATGTTTTCCCTGATCATGATGGAGCATTCTATAAAGATGGCAACATTCTCCTCGGCGCTCAGCAATTCAAGAAGGCATTCTTCTCCAACGTCAAACGTTGCGACACAAATTAAAGCGACCTCCGCTGCTTTCTGGATGAAGCTCTCCTTTTCGGAGTTTTCAACTTGGACATAACCAGTGTTTCGTAGCTGCGTCATCCATTGTTTTGCAACATGGCGACAATTCGATAAGCAAATCCAACTTGATTCAACTGCATCACCATGAAAGTTTGATACAATTCTCGTGAGAAGTAAAACAAGAGTCCACAGTATTATAGTTGCTTCCCAATTGTTCTTAATTCTGTCCAACTCCTGTTGAATCAAGGTCACGAGCTTTTGAACAAATACGGGGTCCTCTAGGGATTGATGGGCCTCGCCAAGCAACAGGCCTGATAAAGGACCTACCTGAGTAGAAATTTGTAGAAATATAAGAGCCGTCTCCTGTCGCTTGAAGTCGATCGTGGGGCTGGCCAACTGTCGTAAGATGTTAGTCCACCTTGTATGGTGACCTAGGGGAGCTAGAGCAAGCGATCTAAACTCCTCCTGCGAGATATGGGCAGGGCATTCTTGCAAGTCACTTATGACGGAGTTGGCCAATTGTGCTTGGCTTTGCTGCGTGGATGGAGTAACAAAACGTTGCAGGGATGCAACTGAGTAGGGCAGCTGAACAGTGCAACGCTTAACGAGAGTTGGAGGTGGGAATTCGGCAATGACTGAACCCGTAGATATATCGAAATATTCCCAATTATGCCTGTGATTTATAAGAATATTGTCTTTTGTTAGATCTGGACGTATTTTTATTGTCGTCATTTTGGGCTCTGATGCACTTGACAGCACGACTCGGGAGTCGTCCGCGGTTTGTTGATACTTCGAAAGCCATTTTTTAATTCCAGGAGTGTGTCGCAGATTATAAAAGTAGTTGGATAGCAGAAGCCTCTTATTGGTTGCGTTATTGGTAGTGTCAGCCCTTTTGGCTAGAACATCCGTGAGGAAAAATACGGTGAAATCCCTCCAAGCAGAAAATGACTGTGATGCTAGGAGTTCAAATACCAAGTTCTTCTTCTCTGATTCTTCTTTCGGTAATATTTTTTCATATGTATCGATCTTCATTTCCAGTGCCTGTCTTTTGCTTTGGCATCTGGCGCAAGGGTCGTCAGTCCTTGGAGCATCCTAATCTTCCGAACCAGACGCTCCCTCACAACCAGCGTCGCAATGACCATCATGATACTCTTGCATTAGTCGGCTGTAATCCTCAATCTGTTGCTCAAGCTCTTCAATCTTCTCACTTTCTTTATCCTTATCGTATTTTATGAGAGTTTTAAGTAGTTTCTTGCAATTTGGATCGTTCTCAAAGGCTTTCACCGCAAACGACTGGTTTCCGCCAAGGCCATCGAATACAAAAGTCTCATATTGAGAATGTTCCTGTCGATCTTTTAGATAGCATTCTGCAGTTTTTAACTGCCCAACATCTGTGTTGGAGTTCAGCAAAAGTGAGGACCATATGTTATCAGGAACCGGAGGCTTGTAGCGTTTTAATTCCGGTGTATCCGCTGCCGCTAATTTATCGCAAGCCACCCAGAGCACAAGAATCCTAAGCAACATGGCTGAATTTTCTTTTGGATTATTAACATAGGCTCTTTTTGCAATTTTGAAGTACTGAAACGCTCTATTTTTGATTGTGTTGCAGGCGTCTCCCTCTGTACCATGTTCGTTGAGCCAAGTATCCAGGTGCTTATCTATCCAATACTCAAATGCGAATAGATAGAAGATGGTATACTCCTTTGCTTCTTCCGCAAGCGCAAGCGACGCAAAAGTGTTTTTATCTGGTAATCGCAGCTGCGACACTGGGTGATATGAGCCGCTTGTCGCTGAACTTTGGCGGTGAGCAATGCTCTTGACAAATAGATTTAAGTTGGGGATCTCGAAAAGTGTATCTGCTTCGATTGCTGACGGGTTAAATGGCGAAATTTCCAGAGAGATTTGATGTCTCTTGATGATTTTCTGCCAATTTTGACTCAGTACTTCGTTTGCATTGTTCAAAACGGCCGTGACTGCTTCCATCCACTTCTCATCTTCAGTAAGCTCGAGTTTTCGCTTGCGTCTGCAAACTTTGGAGTAGATACAGTGAATAGTTTCACTTTGTAACTCTCCTTCGCAAGCTTTCTCTAAAACTTGAGACATGAAGAATAGTAAGAACTTTTTGTATAGGATGGACTTTCCATCTTGCCGGCTCAAGATTAACTGAGAAGTGACGCGCAGGAAAAGCCAAAAGGGTGAGCGTCTCCAACACTGGTTGGAACCATTTGTGCCTATTACCTCTTCTCTAGTGTGCTTACAAATTCTGCGATGCTCTGATTGTATCCCCTTATTCACTAACTCGATATATAGCAGCTCGGTTATATTTGTTGGGGAAGGGACGTCCTCGCTGGCGGCAGCAACTTCTGGAAACCCATGGCCCTTGGTGGTTGTTATACCTTCCCAACTCATCCGTGAAATGGTTGATGAGATGAAGTCAAAAAAGTCACAAGTGTTTATATGGTCAGTCGGAATAGAGGCAGAACATTCAGGAAAGTGTCGGACAATGCGGCCGGACGCTTCGACGATTGTCTCATTGTCCGGAGTAAGCCCCCAAAGATCGAAAATCGCGTTCCCTCCTCGTCCATGTAGCAGGATCCCAGCATTTTGAGCTTGAACATAAACAGGTAGATACGATGTCTCTGCATGTTTGGTGAGACCGATGCTTAAGACGAGATGGGAAGGCGTTTCGACACTTACCTTGACCTATGACTTGCTGTGATGCTGTGCGAAGTTTGTCGCTATGCAGACTTCCATCTTCTTTTCGAATGCTCTGAAGGATTTGAAGAGCAGTTACTAGCTGATTTACCCTGCTTCGCTCGCTGTTATTACAGAGCGAAACAAAGTCTTCTGTTGACGATAGAAACAAGCCAAGGAGGTGGCTATCGCATGACTCTTTGTCTGGCCTACTGGGAAGCCCAAGTGGTAGGAACACATGATTTACCATGTATCCAAGAGTTGTGCTTCCGTTGGGGGGATCAAGGTCATCCATGTTGTCTCGAGGGCTGGCTCCCCAGAGTGGGAGACGAGTCGGCGAGGGGCTTCAAAGGAAGTCGCTCAGTGTTTCAAGTTGAAATCGAGATGAATAGAATGATAATGATGCTGAGGTGCTTGTGGAAGAGAACAAGGTAGGACTTCGCTCAGAAAGCTGAAGAACGGCGTGCATGCGTGCGTGAGTGAGTGTGTTTGAAGTAATCCGGTGTGGTGAGTAAGAGAGGAAGAAACCTTTGAGCGGAAGCCTCGAGATGTCTGGTTTTTATACTTTCTTGCTGGCACACCACCGGTCCGTTGAGAGAGGCTCACAGCTGGCAGCCAACTGGTAGCTCCAGGCTCCAGCTCTGCGCAGACCAACCAGGATCCAGATGTCCTCTCCTTCTCCATAACAAAGTTGATGACCGGCAGACTTGGGGTGAAGTTCCTCCACCAGCCTGTCCACCGAGGCTGCTTTCTTTCCTTTTCCATCATGACTTCTTAAAATAGCGTCTGTAGAGAGATCAAAATTTTCGGCTAGAATGGGTTTCCAGCTGCTGAGCAAACACCAATGCACAGCCCCGATATGCTGTCCGGTCAACTATCTAGGTACTCAAGTATGTTTATTTCCTCGCACAATACTTACACCATGCTCCGCCGACGGCGGTGCTTGTGTTGATAGTCACAGACTCACAGCAGGTCAAATGGTTTTCACGAACGCAAAAAAAGAGTGGGGACTCTGCAAGACCTGGCTTGCTTAGAGTCATGGACCAACTTCACTCAACGCCGGAACCTCACCATTTGCAATGCTACTCCATGTATCCGTTATATGCGCGTGCTTTGTTGATTATGTCCATGAATATCTTCAGTGCCACAGAAACGTCAACGAAACGATACGATATTTGAGGCTTCTCCGCCCGTGCTGCTGTGGGACATGGTGCTTGGAAATGCCCCAAAGAGCTTCTGTCGGGGGGGGACAAACCGCTCAACCTGTCAAGACCAAGCGTACGCAAGGGGGCTCACATGAGACTTTGCACCTGGCCACGCCAGTTGGAGGGATGAGCAATATGCAAAGACAAGACGAAGCCTTATCGGTGCCAACACCACCAGAGTTTCTGCCGGCCAACTCCTCACTCGTTGACAACCTACCGCTCACGTTGCCGAACACGTTATCAGTGTCCAAGATCAAGGGCATAACCGTCATTGTTACCCTTGCAGGCATTAGTTTCCTCAATACTATGGGCTCCGGTATCCTTATTGCCGCCCTGCCTCGAATTGCATCAGATGTTGAGCTTTCCGATGCTTTGATCCTATGGCCAGCAGCAGTCTATGCCCTCGCGGCAGGCTGTCTTCTTCTTATCTTTGGCGCAGCTGCGGACGCAATTGGGGCCAAAATTGTGTGGATAACTGGAAGTTATCTCTTCGTCGTTTTCACCGTTGCATTGGGCCTGGCAAATACTGGTCTCCAAGTCATTCTGTTTCGAACATTCTTGGGTGTCGCCATATCTATGTGCTTACCCACGGCTGTGAGTCTCATTACGAATACGTTTCCTAAAGGGACTTGGAGGAATGTAGCTTTCGCGATGAACGGCATGGGACAACCGCTTGGCTATGCACTGGGATTGGTGCTCGGCGGTATTTTCACGGATTCGATTGGTTGGCGGTGGGCATATTACATGATGGCTATCATCAATTTTGTCCTTTCAACAGCTTCTATTTGGTCCCTTCCAGACGTGAAGCCGGGAGGCGAGAAGAGATGGACGAAGCGGCTGGCGGAGGACATAGATTGGGCGGGCGCGGCCATCATGAGTGTTGCTTTGGGATTGCTGCTGTATGTCTTGGCAACAATCACAACGTCGTATGCGAGCATAAAGGGTCCCGGAACCATTGCTTGCCTAGCAGTTTCGGTAATTCTGCTAGTTATGTTCCCCATGTGGATGAACTATCAGACGAACAGGGGACGGCCGGCGTTGATCCCGAATAGTTTGTGGAAGAATGCTCCGTTTACCACTATCTGCCTGTCAGTCTTTTTTTGCTGGGCGGCTTTGAATGGGATTGAGTACTTTACAACTCTCTAGTAAGACCAAAAGCCAAGCGTCACGGGAGATGCCGAGGGATTTAGCTAACAGGAGGAATAGTTTTCAGCAAGTAGAAGGCCTACCGGCCTTGCAAAGCTCCCTTCGTTTCCTCCCTCACGTCATCATGGGAATATGCGTCAATGCGGCCACGGCATATCTTATTTCGCGAGTTCAAGTGCAGACTCTTGCGGTAGTTTCAGCTTTGATCACCGTGGTAGCTCCGGCTCTGATGGCTACTATCAAGGTTGGCGAAAATTACTGGTATGCCCCATTTTGGGCATTATTTCTGTCCCCGGTCAACCCGGACGGTAGGTTTCTGTCTGTCTTCCTTTTATTATTGCGATAAAATAATCTGATGCTGAGGCGCCGATGATGCAGTACTCTTCACAGTATCAAATCTCATCATATCCGATGCATTCCCTGTCGACACGCAATCTCTAGCAGGCGGTGTTTTTAGTGAGGTGTCACAATTTGGAAATTCGGTTGGTCTTGCTGTGACAGCAGCCATCGCTGCGTCAGTAACCGAGCACGCAGGCTCCAAGGATACTAGGATTGCTTTGATGGATGGCTTCCGAGCTGCCTTTTGGACTATTTTTGTTAGTGCGGCTGGAGTAGCTGTTATTTGTTTCTTCGGGTTAAGGAGGGGTGGATTCATTGGGAAGAAGGATAATTAATAGGAAAGACATGCTATAATATGAAAGGATAAGAAAAGCTAAGTATAAGAACGGGTATGCGGATAGAATGGGGCGAGGCCATCTCATCATAGGGATAGCCTATATCCATATTGTCTGTATGAACCGGCCAGTTCTGCAGACACCTGAAGATGTCGTAACCGCTCGTGTCGTCGCATGGCGTACAAAGTACTCCGTCCAATTCTCGCTTTCTGGCTGCTACACGATGGGGGTGTCAGACTCGGGAACAGTTCGCAGGAGGGCCTTGGGCTGACAGCAACCGTAACGGCTGCAGCTGTCGGTGTATTACTGCATTCCACCAGCCTGTGACATGGCTCGTAAAGTTGGTGTTGGTGTGACGAGCCTGATATCCGTCTGGCCTTCGTGTTGGATATGCAAGCCCCGCCAATCAATCCGCCAAAGACATCGGCACAGATGACAGACGGTACCTTTTGCGGCGACGGCGGCAGCGGAGCCATGCTGCCATCATGGCTCGGCTTGACTGGCTGGGGTCCGGTGTTGTTGAGGCCCAAAGGTCCATGCCGCCAACGGACTTCTTGGCCTCGTTTTGGTGTCGCTCCTTTCCCTGTTGAGCCAAGGACTTGGTTCGGACCCGCCTCGACTAGCAACGCCCCTAGTCGTTCCTGCCCGTTTAACCACTTGCACACCTGCCCGCTCATTTCTCTCCGCCACTTCGCAGTGCCACTTGCTCTTCCACTCAAACGGTCAGCGTCCCTGGCCTACTACGTCACGAGACTGGCGGTTGATCTTTTTGGCTCGCAACCCACCGACTCGCTCACCCGCACATCCAGCACCACCATCGTTTTTTTGGACATGGCCGTTGCGCCAAATCATGTATAACTAGTCGCTTCAATTCGACGAATTGCTATCATCTTAGCTTTTCCGGCCGGCGCAAGACCCAAGGAGCTCCGCCCGCTATGGCCGATTTCCACCCCGAGCTTCAGGCCAAACTCGACGACTTGCAACGCGAGTTAGAGGTAAGTGCGACAGGGACTCACTCCTCAACGCTTCATTTCTCTTTTCCTCCCGGAGATGATATGTTGCTGATCAAATCGTCTTGGCTCACAGGAAGGGGACATTACAGAGAAGGGGTAAGCGAATCCTGATCACTTCTATGACCCTAGGAACCTTGGAGCCCGACAAGATGCCATCATGTCCTGATCTATCGGCGATGTCGACCGCCTCCACAATCTCCTATTCATGCTGACATTTTCCTCCTCGCCTCTAGCTACCAAAAGAAACGCACGCTATTGCTCTCTCAGTATGGTCATGGCGAATCCAGCGCGCCAGCTCTCGCACCCACCATCCACGAGCCTCCCCCTCGATCCGGGTTGCGCACTAAACAGCCTGATGACAACCCGCCCCATTCAAGTTATGACGGCCATCGAGCCTCTGCCTATAATGCAGTGAGGGAGAATGGCTCTGACCCTGGGTCTCCAATTTACCGACCGAGTTCGGGCTACGGCACCCCTTCGACAACTTCACAAGCCGCCGAGACAACACCCGCCGCCCTCTTGCGCCCCGGCGGCCCCGTAGCAGAGCGCTCTGTTCCTCTGCAGCGGGATTCACTTTTCATCACGGCTGCGACTGCATCTAGCAACGATCCTTCTCGGAGCGGAACTATGGTATCCAGGGACTATGCTTTCAATCCGGACCAGCAAGGAGCCTACATGGATGCAGGCCATCAACAGCAACACCACCATCTACACCCCCAGCAACAATTCGATGGCAGAACTCGAACATTGCAGGATTCCCAAGGCTACTTCTCGGACTTTGCCGGTCAGCAGCATTACGACCAGACTCCGTCTGGAGGAGAGTACGGGGCACCCCATAGATATTCGTCCGGGGAGGCTTTCTCTCCCACAGCTGCCATGGCTCCCCCCATGCTCACGGCGAACGACCTTCCACCGCCAGAAATATTAGAATATTTGCAGCCACTTGAGCCTCGAGAGGTACCATTTGCTATTCATGACCCCCACGACGCCAACATCACAATGTCCCGTTTTGACAACCTGGCTGCTGTCTTGAGACACCGCGCTCGCACTACAGCCAAGGTCCCGGCGTACTGGGTACTCGATAGCAAGGGCAAGGAAATCGCATCCATTACTTGGGACAAACTTGCTTCTAGAGCAGAAAAGGTTGCTCAGGTCATAAGGGATAAGAGCTCGCTATACCGTGGCGACCGAGTTGCTCTTGTCTACCGTGATAGTGAAATCATTGATTTTGCCATTGCCTTGATGGGTTGCTTCATTGCAGGCGTCGTTGCCGTGCCAATCAACGATTTGCAAGACTACCAACGACTCAACTACATTCTGACTTCGACACAGGCACACCTTGCCTTGACGACGGATAATAACCTTAAGACATTCCAGAGAGACATCACGACGCAGAAACTGACGTGGCCGAAGGGGGTCGAGTGGTGGAAGACGAATGAATTTGGAAGCTATCATCCTAAAAAGAAGGAAGATGTACCCGCGCTCTCAGTTCCTGATTTGGCATATATTGAATTTTCTAGGGCACCAACTGGAGACTTGAGAGGCGTCGTGATGAGCCATCGCACTATCATGCATCAGATGGCGTGCCTGAGCGCAATTCTATCGACGATTCCAGGCAGCGGACCAGGTGACACCTTCAACCAGTCCTTACGAGATAAAAACGGCCTTCTTATTGGCAACAGGAAGGCTGGTAGCGAGATTTTGCTCTCCTATTTGGAACCTCGTCAAGGTATCGGCATGATCCTCGGTGTTTTGTTGACAGTCTACGGCGGCCATACAACTGTTTGGTTTGACAACAAAGCCGTGGATGTACCCGGCCTCTACGCACATCTCATTTCAAGATACAAAGCGACAGTCATGGTGTCAGACTACCCTGGCTTGAAGCGAGCGGCATATAACTACCAGCAAGACCCTATGACAACACGAAATTTTAAAAAGGGAATGGAACCCAATTTCCAGGCTGTCAAACTCTGCTTAATCGATACCCTTACCGTTGACGGGGAGTTCCACGAGGTTTTGGCCGACAGATGGTTGCGCCCACTTAGGAATGCCAGGGCTCGACAGGTTGTTGCACCTATGCTGTGCCTCCCCGAGCACGGCGGAATGGTGGTAAGTGTGAGAGATTGGTTGGGGGGCGAAGAACGTATGGGTGTACCGCTCAAGCTAGAACACGAGACAACCTCAGAGTCAGATTCGGATGATGGTGGCGAAACTGCTAAACCCGTCCCCCCAAACGGGTTTGGTAGCTTGCTGGGCGGTGGCACCACAACAACAACGGAAAATAATGCCGGTAATACAGAAATGAATGAGGTACTCCTGGATCGCGAGGCTCTCAAAACAAACGAAGTAGTTGTTATGGCATACGGCGATGAGGTGGGCAAAAAGGCACCGAACGAACCGGGCATGGTGAGAGTCGGCACATTTGGGTATCCTATACCAGATGCTACCCTAGCTGTTGTTGACCCCGAAACCGGTCTTCTTGCCTCTCCCCATAGTGTTGGTGAGATTTGGGTTGACTCGCCTTCTTTGTCTGGTGGGTTCTGGGCTCAGCCAAAGAATACCGAGCTTATTTTCCACGCGCGACCATACAAGTTTGAACCAGGAGAACCCACACCAACCCCTGTGGAACCCGAGTTTCTGCGAACCGGCCTGCTTGGAACCGTCATCGAAGGCAAAATCTTTATTTTGGGACTCTACGAGGATCGCATTCGTCAGAAGGTGGAGTGGGTAGAACATGGCCACGAGATTGCCGAGTATCGATACTTCTTTGTGCAGCACATGGTTGTGAGCATCGTCAAAAATGTCCCAAAGATTTATGACTGCTCTGCCTTTGATGTCTTTGTCAATGACGAACACTTACCCGTGGTTGTAGTGGAATCGGCGGCCGCGTCTACTGCTCCGCTTACTTCGGGAGGCCCTCCCCGGCAACCTGATACCGCGTTGCTTGATTCTCTGGCGGAGAGGTGCATGGAAGTATTGATGGAAGAACACCATCTCAGACTTTATTGTGTTATGATCACCGCCCCCAACTCTTTGCCACGTGTTATCAAGAATGGGAGACGCGAGATTGGAAACATGCTCTGCCGCCGAGAATACGACCTGGGTAATCTGCCCTGTGTCCATGTCAAATTTGGAGTTGAGCATGCCGTGCTTAACTTGCCGATTGGTGTTGACCCAATAGGAGGCATCTGGTCCCAAATCGCGTCCGAATCACGAGCCAATATTCTAGCCCCAGCAGATAAACAATATTCGGGTATCGACCGAAGGGAAGTTGTCATTGATGACCGAACATCCACCCCACTCAACAATTTTTCCTGCATCACCGATCTGATTCAGTGGCGAGTGGCCCGTCAACCAGAAGAGCTTTCGTATTGTACGATTGATGGTCGAGGTAGAGAAGGCAAGGGCATCACTTGGCGCAAGTTTGATCAAAGGGTCGCAGCTGTCGCGATGTATTTGAAGAATAAGGTCAAGGTACGACCCGGAGACCACGTTGTGCTTATGTACACACACTCCGAGGAGTTCGTCTTTGCCGTCCATGCCTGTATCAACCTAGGCGCCGTCGTCATTCCCATGGCACCTCTGGACCAGAATCGTTTGAATGAGGACGTGCCCGCATTCCTCCATATTGTTGCTGATTACAATGTGAAGGCCGTACTTGTCAATCATGAGGTGGATCATTTGATCAAGCTCAAGCCCGTTTCGAGTCACATCAAGCAGTCAGCCCAGATTCTCAAAATCGCCATTCCCAATGTCTACAACACCACCAAACCACCCAAGCAAAATAACGGTCTTCGTGACTTGGGCCTGACAATTGACCCAGCGTGGATTCGCCCAGGATATCCTGTGGTTATTTGGACGTACTGGACGCCAGACCAGCGGAGAATAGCAGTCCAGCTGGGGCACGATACCCTCATGGGAATGTGCAAGGTCCAAAAGGAGACATGTCAAATGACCAGTTCACGCCCAGTTCTCGGGTGTGTGCGA